AGTGGAATTTTCCTGAGGGTTTTCTCTTCCACTTGCTAGACTTGGGTTTCTCATAAAATTTATTTGTTTCAAAACCCTTATTTTTGAATTTGTTATATTTGGGGTGTCTCCTACTTGAGTATATATATTTGGGTACCTATTGTAGGCTTCTGATATTTTCTTTTTGTTGGATAGTGCAATAGGAGGTAATCCATATTTTTCACAAAATGTTTCTAATTCGTATTTGGTTATTGACTTGTCTTTGTTGACTTGTTTTGTAATTTTCATATCAATACACATTTTCAATCCTTTTTTCTGGATAATATTAATAATATTTCTATAAGTAAGGGTATGATATGATATGATACCTTATTCATTAACTAAAACGTTTTTTTTACTTTATACGCAAATAGATTTGATAATCCATTAATGAATTTTTCTTTCCAAAATGGTTGATTACTATCTTATCTAAGTATGACTCTGGACATGAAAACATATTTGTACCACCTAAAATCGCTTAAGGTTTGACATCTTAAGTTGCTGAGTTGGTCATGAATCCTGGATGTGACATTACTAGGTGTCTCTATGAAATGTTCTATGATAGTGAAAAGTAATGTGTTGACCGCATCTGGGACTCCTCTTCTGATACGTTCATTGAAAACAGATGTTCATTATTCATCGATTTTGACTGCATTTTTTATTTCATTTCTGGATTGTTCAGTAAGATGTTTTTCCCACCATGAATGGAGCATTCTTGTAAATCTGGTGACCAAAAGGTCCACAACTTGGGTTTGACTAAGGTTATGATTAGTAATATAACTATTAGCAATCATGAAGATGTGTTGTAATTTGTTCAAAAGTTTTTGTTCTAATAATCCATCTATATTCCATTCATAGAGTTTATTAGCTGAGATTAAGAATTGGTTTTGAATGTTTCTTTCCTCAAATTGAATATCCGGAGGTGTTGGCCTTGGATACCAATTTTTGGTAAGAGTTGTCGGATTGACTCTTTTGTTTGTGATTCGTTTTAGTTCAAGATTTTGAAAAGTTTCTTCTACTTTTCTGATGGAATTTGTTTCACTCTCGCCATTTGAATCCCATAGTAGAAGTTGTTTCTGGTTAAGATTCATCTGGGTATTGTAAAATATTTATTGTTTTTTCTTGTTTTAACTCTTTTAACATTTGATCTATTTTTTTACTTGTGGAGATTGTTATCAAAGTTGTTGTGCTAGATAAGGCTTCTGGGAAGTTGACTAAGGGTTTTTCCTTAATTGTTGGTTTGGAATGTGAAAGTTTATGTATTTTGCTTTCTATTTTATCTAACTGTTTTCCTATGGTATGTAGACTCTTGTTTGTGAAATTGTTTTGTTCAATGATTGGCTTGACTCCTGCATCTTCTTTGGGAAGTTCGAAATGAGTGGCTAGTACCTGTGTGTTTGCAGTTGTGATTAAAATTGTTTCTTGTGGAGGGTGACTAGAGGAGACTATGGTTTTGTCTTCTTTGACCCAATTTTTTATTGTGATGACTTCTAACTTATTTTCAGACTCGTAATATTTTTCAAAGAAAATACTTCAAATATGTGTTTTTTCATGAAATTGGTCCATTTATTGTAAATGTCCAATTTTTGTTCTTTTGTATATTTTTCCCTAAAGATGTTTCTTCTAGGAATGTTTTCTATTGCTTCGATGTCAACATTGAGTTTTTTCCATTGAACTTTCAATGGTTGTTTAGGACTAGTAGTTGGTGGTTTTAGGACTAGTAGTTGATGGTTGACTTGATTTGCTTCGAAATCAGATTCAGTTAAAGAGGTTTGTTCTCCTTGATTTTGGGTGTTAGGTTGGTATCGTGGATGAGTAACCTGAGAGATTGTTTCTACTGATTTTGATTTCATGTTGATCAAATCATTAATTAATTCTTGTTGGGTAACTATTGAGCTAGTATCTATTGATTTTAATTTTATATTGACTAAGGAATTAATTAAATCTTGATCTCGACCCACCATATCCGCTGATGTGGATCTAGAAAAAAGAATTCCTACTAGATTCTAAAGATTTGTGTGACTGGGCTAACTCGTGTAAAAGGACACTAGATTTCCTAGCTGGAGGCTTGAAATTGATTTTAACTGTTCCGTCAAAATATTATTTTATGTTGTCTAGGTTGACTAAGCTATTTTGTATGCTTACTGGTTTTCTTTCATTGATTAAGCATCAATCTGAAGATAGACTGATATCTAACATTTGATAGTTTTGGGTATTTTAATGTTGGCATTTTCTTGATTGGTTTGTATCAAAAGTGTGTGGTCTCAAGGACTTTTAAGTAAGGCTTGGAAATTCATGTTTGTGTTGGATATATGTCAGCAATCTGTGATAAAATTATATATGCTAATAAATAATAAATGCGAATAGGAAATTAACAGAGTATGAACAATGAAATAATATTGAACAGAAATATTGAAGATCAAGTCTTGCATACCACAATGTCCTTGTAACAAAAATTTCGTCCCTACTCAGTGCTTGTAGTTCTACGGACGTCTGCTTCACCAGGATTCAACTATCAAGTCAAAATTCCAGCACCAGAAAACTTGACTTCTGGTGAATTTCTATGTATTTCTCTCATTAAGGATGTTTTGGATTATAGAAGAAGAATTGTATTTTCTGTGTTATAAATGTCATGCAGATGGATATATATATATATATATATATATATATAATATAATATAATTATGCTTGTTCGCAACATGTATGAGGAAGAGATGCATCTGTTGGGAGACATCTTCTCAGATGGGTGTTTTCTTTCTGCTGTTTTTCACACTTCAGACTTTATCTGAAAAGATGAGTCTGTTGGTAAAAAATAATTAATTAAATCCAAAAATAATTAATTAATTTAATTATTAGAGCCCAAACCTAAGCTCGAGCCCGAGCCCAAGGCCCATCTTTTGATAATCACCCCAAAGCCAACCTCAAGGGTGAGCTCAATTTTAGTCTCAAAGGCCTATCACTCCAATCACTTTCTATAAGGGACAAAGCCTTATAAAGTGAGGAAACCTTTTGAAAATGGCCAACGTGAGACAATGAAATTTCTACTCAAAATTTACAACAGTTTGTTCCTATGACTTTGTAGTAAACTCTAAAAATTAAGGCTTATGGTTGGACTCTTCAAGGACTTGGTACCCTGATGTTTTGATGTTTAATGTGAGTGCCTTCAGTATGTGAGGATTTGAAAGACTTATCGTGCGATATGGAAAACAATCAAAATGAATTAGTCCGTTGTAAAGGCTTGACTCAATCATTCCAAGAATTCTATCATTGAAGTCAATGAATCTTGCATCTCGGAGACATAACAAAATAGTCTTCTTGTTAAGGGCTTGACTGCTATTTGGATTAGGCCTATGTGAATGTAATTGTAACCATCTTTTCTATGAGTTTTAATTTGTTCTAGTGTGAATAACTGACAAGTTTCATGTTTTTTACTAAGAGCATAAGTTTTTTCAATTGTTTTGACGTGATGTTCACTTCTAAAAGAGGCTACTGACCATTTTTTTTGTAAATATTTTTACTAGAAACCTTGGGGATATTCCAATCTCCAAAGTTGACAGTGTGAACTCAAAGAAATTTTTTACTAGGAAATTCCGAACTTGAAACCTTTCTCCTCCAGAGTCCACTTCTTATAGAGTTGGAAAAAGGTTTTGGGTGACTTGCTTTTACTATTGATGAATGATGACTTGCCTTCACTATTGATGAACAGTGAAATTTGTTAGAATAATTGTTGTTTTCATTGTAGAATATGGATGATTGAATGACTCCAAACTTTGTCAGAATCATTGGTGAGAACGTGCTGGTTGACTGAATAATTCCATGCGTTGTCGAAATTATTGGTATGTGTGTGTATGATAATTCCATATTGAATATCTCTTGGTCCCATATGAGATCCAGTTCTACATCTTAGCTAGGGCTGGAAAAAATTCCCAAAAATCCCAAACCCAAACCGAAATTATCCCAAACTTTGGTAATTCCGTACCGAAAAATACCAAAATATTTGGTATGGGATTGGTTTTTAGATTTCATTTTTCGGTAATCCTGAAATCCCGAAATCTTCATTTGCTTTTGGTTTGTACTTCCCACGCTACCAAAGAACAAAGTGTGCAGAAAAGCAAACTGCAATATCAATTATATATTATTAAAATAATCAAAGTGTGCAGAAAAGCACATGACTATTTTGTGCTGTCTAAATTACTATCAAGCAAACTGCGAACATAGCCTATTGCATAATATTAAAATAAGGAAAGTTTGCAGAAAGATGTTTAAAGACTCAGACTCTTTAGACAAAGTGTCTCTCCCATCTCTGCCTTTGCCAAAGTCTCCATCTCTACCTTCGCCAAAATCTCAGATTCTTTCTGTCTCTCCTCTCAAATTCAAATTGGGGCTTAGGGTTTCGAATTGGGGGCTCGGGTCAGGAGAAAGATGAAGGTCTGACTATCTTTGCACTCTGTCTCTCTCTCAACCTTCAATTTTCTTCGATTCACCACTGTTTCAGATTTTAAAATGGGGTTTTAAATTTAAATGGGTTTAAATTTAAATTTTAATGCAGGTACGGATGATTTCAGGTTCAATTTCGAGAAATCCCAAAATACCGAAAATCTTTCAAGAATACCGAAATTTTGGTCTGGTATCAGTCCTCAGATTTCCCTTCCAAAAATAGTCGGTTTGGGACTTGATATGCCTTTTTCAGTTCGGTGTCCCATATCAAACCAGCTCTAATCTTAGCACTGAACTAACGAACAGAAATTGAACATCACTTCCGGGAATGGCATCATTTATTAAAAAGTGCTAGCGTTGACAGGAGATGAGCTTGGTTTTTTTTAACGCGTAATCGCTTAACAATACATGCTTCAAGACACTCTTTTTTCTCATAATCACCAATTACCACTGTCACTTGGTATTATAACAGCAGGCACGTAGTCCGTGCCGTAAGATCATATTGCTGTATAGGCAAAATTACATATCGACGGATCAAATAAAAAGGACAGGAATCCCACAAAATGCATTATAAATTCTTAAATACATACGTAAACACATGCTGATACGTACTTAGTATGAACATATATAACAAATACATAAATACATACGCGCGTATACTTAGTATGAACGTATATAATTCAACCTATCAACTAATCCATCAAGTTGATACATGTCTAAAATCTGCCGAGGTCAGGAACAGTGAAATACTCATCATCGTCATCTGGGATTTCAATCCTAGGCTTCTTGTGCGGACTGCTTGATTTAGGGGGTCTGTAGGAGGTAAGATTGCTCGACTGTGGTACTGGGAGCTGCGGAACTTCAGCTGCTGCCGGTGCCTCCTGAGGAAACTGATCACCGAATATACCCATGTCTGCTATCCATTCGAGCTCTCCAAACTCAAGCGAATCCTTCTGAAGAAAGCACAGTCCAGAGTTTCTCAAGGTTAGGGATAGATGAAAGAAAAGGCAAACAACTTATTAACAATGTTGGCATCAATTTTATATAAATGTTTTTCTATACTGACTTCACCCGAACAACTGCCCGAACTCCATCCCACCTGAGCAATGACCTATTAGAGCTATCAACTTACTGAAGTCATATAATCTCGTATAATCGTGCATATGTGCTCTATGAATGATCAAACTAAAATAGCGATGAGAAAAGAAAAGTGAACTCAATTAAAATTATTCTCTACTTCTATCTCGAAAGTCCGAAAAACTTATAAAGTTTCTGTACTCTCACTGGTTTATATACAGTAGATAAATAATTATTTTCTCACACGGTAGGCATCATCATTAAATAGCGGTATATGCCACCCAATAATCCCCAACAACATTGTCCAAGACTTGTGCGTCTCATGTACCGAGTTCCCATAAATTGGGTATTTATCTTCAACCCCTGACTTTCACGGATATTATGATGACGCCCATTTCTCCACTCCTTCAACAGAAAAAGGGTAAGTTCTGGTGCATCTTTCAATGCCGTTTCTACGTATTCAATTAAAACCAGGCTATTCTGTGAGAACACAATTGTGTAATTCTAATCATTATGAATAAAGCATAACATCCAAATGTTTAGGGATCTTTCTAACCTTGTCAGAAGATTCAAAATCTGATAATTGCAGCAAGTCATCAACACCCCATGGTGATGAGATGCCAGAAGCCTGTGGTGCTGAGACTTTTGTTGAAATCTTCTGTGCACCTTGATTGGGTGGCTCAAAGCCACTCGTTTCAGCTTCCTTGGTACTACTGGAGGCCAAAGCCACTCGGATTCCAGTGGCAAGGAACCTCTGGTGGTTTGCAGAGAGGCTATTGGCTGAATGAATTGGTTCATCACAATCCTGACAAAAGAGGGCTCTGTCTTCTACGCAGAATATAAAAGCTGTCTTATCCTGCAAATCAGAATATATATGTGTGAGAGGGAGAGATTGAAATTTGAGCAATTACTTCAAGAGAATTTAACAAACTCATCAGAATCCAGTGATGCTAAGACCGATTTAAAACGAAATCTTATTTATCTTTCAAGAACTCTTACGTGAGTTTCTTGTTGTTCATTAGTAATTGAGATGAAGACGGTTGATTTCAAGAAAGCAGAAATAAACCAAGAGGAAAGCTCAAATGTGGCTTGAGAAATTCAAGCTGGTCATCTAGCATAGTCTCCTTACCTTTCCCTACTCTCCAACGCATCAATGAATTTTTTTCTCATCTTCTCCATGACTCAAACCATGGTCCACAACAAGGACTAAATTGTACCCCTCGTGCTTAAGAATTAAAAGGCACCTTTTACGTTCCAATTCAATCAAAAAATTCCTGATTATGGATCAATCGTTATTAAATTTGACAAATCGACATTCTCAGAATCCACAGGGCTGGACATCTACTCAACCATTAGCTGACTTGCATTGCAAGTAGCGAACAAACACTCAAAATCCCCATGACTCAACCATTCGCTGACTTACATTGCAAGTAGTGAACAAACACTTGATTCACTAGCAACATACACTATTCCTACTTTCATATGCACAAAAATTAATCATCAGTTGGGTTGCACTCATCTGTATGGCGTCTGCATCACTCAATATAACTAAACAACCCGCTTGGCCCAAAAGCCGGTCACATGTAAGCGGAGTATGTTGAGAACATAGTCTCAAACCGAGCCAATATATCGTACTTCTAATTTACTCGAAAAAAACTATACAAGTTTTTGAGATCTTGGAAACCTCTATTCATTGTCACTTGGTTTCGGGTTTAGTTTCGCACTGGATGCTCCAACTCTAACACTCTTAGGCTGGTTTGTTATTGCTGTGCTTTGAAAAAAAACTGTTTTCGGCTATGCTGTGAAAATAAGCTCATTTTTGCAGTTTCACGTTTTCAGTTTTTTTTTTTTCATCCAAAATTGTGAAAATAAGCTATTTTTAAGTATTTAGCTGTGCTCAATTTTTTTTATATTCACTTTTTATAAAAGCATCAGTTTTTTTTATACTCACTTTTTATAAAAGCACTTTAGTACCAAATTAGCTCTCAATCCGGCTCACCCGTTACCTCCATCAAATCTAAATACATAATTAATTAATATCAGGAACTAAAACCGCAAACAAAAACAGAAAAATTGGAAATTGGGAAATTAATCAAGACATAGAAAGAAAATGGGAAGTGAAATTAATTACTTGGCAAATGTCGCATTTAGGAAGCTTGTTGGAGAGGCTCTGAAGGAGCAGCCTCTGGTGTTTGCTTGCAAGCTTATTCGCTGCGTGTACTTCAACGTCGCATTTGGCGCACAGAGCCGCCTCGTCGGCGCAACAAATCACCGTCGCCGGCGCCTTCTCGCACACATCACACTGAATCTTCATCTTCAACGATTCAATCCTCTAGATTTCTTAGATTTCTTCCTCCTACACACAACTCTGTTTCCAGAAAAAAATAATAATAATAATAATCCCAGAAGCAAGTGAGAACGTTGTAAAACTGCCAGACAATTCCAGGGAGTGTGATCCAAATTCCACAGATCAAAGCTTTCCCAGAAAGTCCAAACAGATTATCTATGGAAAATCCTCCTGAAGAGAGGAGAGAGGAGAGAGAGAGAGGAGAGAGAGAGGATTGTGTTGTTTGTAAGAAGATAGAGGATTTGTGAGGCAAGTAAAGTAATTGGCGGAGGAGATTTCTGGAGAAAGGTGTGTGATGAGGAGAGGTTTTTGTGGTGGTTGTGTTGGTGGCAGAGATAAGGATTTGGTATCTTCTTTTGTGTATCATAATCAAGACAATTGGGAGATATCACAGCACTTGTGGGGGCCGCCAGCTTCTGTCTTGTGGCTGTAGAGCCATTGACACCTGCAAGATAGTTAGTCCACATCTCTTTCTCAAGACCAAATCTTCTTCACCCAAACACTTACTCAGTGATTTATATGTTTTAAATGTATTTATTAATGTAGATGAAAATGAATAATAAATATATTGAATAAAAACAGTTTTTTTAACTAATTAAAGCAGTTGAACTCATATTAATAAAAACGATCTTTCAATTTCTATCTACATTTTATTGAATTTACATTAAGATTAGAAAAAAATAATATTTAATAAACAACATCATTTGTTATAAAAATGATCAGTTGAAAACTAATTGAATCATATTATTATGCTCGTGCGAGAGACTTTTTTTTTATAACTAGCACTACGCACCTCTTAAGTGTTTAAAAATTGAGAAATAATATTTAATAAACAACCGCATGCAAAAGGTGTTTTTGAATCATAGCATGCTACACGCAACTTAGACATTTTAAATGTGTTTATATATGTGAATTGATTTAATATTTTTTTATTTCGTTATTTTCTTTTTTTATCACTGGCGTTACGCGCCTCTTAAGATGTTTTGAACACAACATTCATGATTTTTCTTATTTTTTATTATATTTTTCTTCCCCATCACTTGGGCACAATCAACTTTGTCATTTGTTTATTCTTTTCTCTCTTCCCTTTCAGTTTTTATTCTTTTCTCTCTCCCCATTTATATTTATATTATATTTTATAATGACCAAATTACCAACTTACCCTTGCATGATTTGATATATTATTTTAGGCAGATTTTGATTTTTTTTTATGAGGGGTAGTTTGGTCCAATTATTTTTTCGAAGGGGGTGACACCAAAACTTTTGTCACATGCGTGACCCCAAAGCCACTGTTCATCGCATTGCTCGCTTTATACATACATGAATGTGGTCTATTTGTGGAGAGAGGATCACTTGACGAATCCTCTTTGTGAGGATCTCGAGAATCCTCCAATCACATTCGTTCATCATACATTGTGCGGTCAGCTTTTGTCAGGTACTGTTTATATTCAATTTTAAATAAAAAAATTTACAATGATTTATGATCGCATAATATATGATGAATGTATGTGATTAGAGGATTCCCAAGATCCTCACAAAGAGGATCCTCCTGCCTATTTGTGGATTCAATTATTAACTGATTCAGATTTATAGATTTAACTTTTTTAAACTTTATTGTCATAAATATAATGTGTCAAACAATAATCGAAATCACATAGAGGTCTTATTTATTTTGAGTGTAGAAGATTTGATCTCTGGACGGTGGTTACTGGCTAACCATGTTTCTAATATTTTAAAAAGATGACTGCTATTGCGCATTTCATTTGTATGGTTTCCTACAATATTGTGTTCATCTTATCTCTTAAAGTAGGTTTGGTTTCCTAGACTAATCTCAATCTTGAATGTTTGATTGTTCGTTTCATGTTTTCACATATGAAACTATTGTGTGAGTTAGTATGTAGAAAGGGAATGTAAATATTGTGTAATTATTAGAGTCATGTTTTAGGAAGGTTATATTTGTGTTCCTTATTGTTTTCCTTATGTAACAGGGATTGTATGTACTTATATTGAGAATTATGGAATACATCGTAAAATTCTATTTGGTCTAGACTTTGGTGCAACAGATCATATGACCCTTGATAAAAATTTGTTTACTTGTATTACAACGACTCCTCAAAAGTGTATAGCAACGACAAATGGCACCACTGCACCGGTGCTTGGGGCCAACATTGTGGGCCTCACACCGGCCCTCTCCCTCCATATTGCTTGCTTGTTCTGTCATTGTCACATAATTTGTTATCTATTCCTAAAGTTATTGAGCAGTTAGATCGTGTTGTACTCATGTATCCACTATTTTGTTTACTTCAGGATATTCAGATCAAGGAGATAATTGGGCGTAGCACTAAGAGATAGGAGCTATATTATGTGGATAACGTCGTTCCTGGCAGAGCTAATGCAGTTCGAGCATCATGTACCAAAAATTTACAAGAAGTTTGGTTATTGCTTCATCGGTCAGGACATGCTTCGTTTGGTTATTTAAGGCGTATGTTGCCTAGTTTATTTCATGAAATAAAAGAATCAGATTTACATTGTGAAGCATGTATTCTCAAGAAGAGTCATCGCGTTTCGTTTCCTCTTAGTATGAATAAAAGACTGTTTCCGTTTGATCTTGTGCACTATGATGTTTAGGGTCCTTCTCTTGTTATTACTCTTTCTGGAATTAAATTGTTTGCTACTTTCGTTGATGATTGCACTCATATGACTTGTATATATGTGATGAAGAATAAAAGTGATGTTAGTATGGTGTTTTGGTTTTTCTCTCAGATGGTTACAACACAATATTCCTCTGTTATTAAAGTTCTTCACTCTGATAATGGAGGTGAATATATTGGTTCCGAATTGTCTGGTTTTCTTCAGGATCAAGGAATCTTCCATGAAACTACTTGTCATCATACTCCACAACAAAATGGGGTGGCTGAGAAAAAAAATCATCATATCTTGGAAACTACTCTTGCCTTGCTTATTGGTGCGTCTGTGCCTAAACAGTTTTGGTCGAAAGCTGTTACCTATGTCGTGTATATGATTAATCGTATGCCATCTCAGGTTGTGGACTTTTGTACACCTCTTCAAGTATTAACAGAACATGTTCTTGTAGTATCCACCAACACCCTTACTCCTTGTGTGTTTGGGTGTGTGGCGTATGTTCATATTCACAAAATTCATCGTAGCAAGTTGGATCCGTGTGCTATTTGGTGTGTCTTTGTTGGATTTGCATCCCAACAGAAAAGGTATAAGTGTTATCACCCTGACACTTGCCATATGTATGTGACTATGGATGTTACCTTTTTCCGAATCTGGATATTTTTATTCTTCGTTCCCATCACCTTCAAATCCCCAGGGGGAGAGCACTAGTGGGGATCAGGGTGATCTTGGATGGTTGGAAATATTAGACAATGGGTCTCAACAAGATATTGCCGAGAATGAGATAACTGGGTCTTGACAAGAAACTGCTGAAAATGAGATTAATGGGTCTCGACAAGAAAATGTGGAGTATGTGACAGAGTTTCAGCTGCTACCTGTCGAGACAGGCACAACAGATCGATAAGGATCTGCTGAGGAATCTGGAACAATCCAGCCACTAGCTGCTGCCAAACCTACAACCCCTTCTCTCTTGAGCTCGATAGTGCCACCTAATGTGTCTTCTCTAAATATCCCTGAGGTAAGTACCATTGATACTTATGTAACTAATCTCAATAATGTTGAAGGTACATATAAGTTGCCGCCAAAGCAAAATCGTGGTGTTCCTCCTGATAGGTTTTCTCCCGAAGAAAAAGTGAGGTATCCAATAGCAAATTATGTGTCATTCAAGAATCTTGCACCAGAACGTCCAGCATGGGTGAATAATGTGGAAGCAATTCAAGTACCAACCCGAGTTGATGAGGCCTTGAAGGATCCCAAATGGGTTGCTACAATGGATGAAGAAATGATGGACTACATAAAAATGATACATGGAAGGTAATGGAACTGCCAAAGGAAAAAAAACCGGTTGGGTGTAGATGGGCTTTTACAATTAAGTACAAGGCCGATGGATCAATAGATAGGTATAAAGCAAGGTTAGTAGCAAAAGGTTATACTCAAACGTATGGTGTTGATTACCAGTAACGTTTTCACCTGTAGCCAAGATGAATACGGTATGTGTTATTATTTCTTTAGCTGCAAATTTGAATTGGCCATTGAAACAGTTTGATGAAAAAAATGTTTTTCTTCATGGGCGTTTGGAAGAAGAAGTGTATATAGATTTTCCTCCGTGGTATAATGCCAGAGGAAAAATCGGAGTATGTAGGTTGCGAAAGTCATTTTATGGGTTGAAGCAATCACCGCGTGCATGGTTTGGTAGATTTACTCAAGTTATGAGGAGGATTAGATATTACCAAAGTCATTTTGGCCATACATTGTTTGTTAAATGGAGGAGTGGTAAGGTGACATCCTTAATTATTTATGTGGATGACATGATAATAACAGGTGATGATTCAAATGAGATAGTGAAACTAGAATAGAGCCTTGCCGTTGAATTTGAGATGAAGAATTTTGGAGATTTAAAATATTTCCTTGGAGTAAATGTAGCTTGTTCGTCTAGAGGTATCTTCTTGTCTCAAAGGAAATATGTTCTGAATTTATTAAAGGAGACATGCTTGCTTGGATGTAAATCTATGGATACTCATATTATAGATAAGCATTATTTGGGAATATATCCCCGATCAGAAATCGGTTGACAAAGGTAGATATTAGAGATTGGTAGGGAGACTAATTTATTTATCTCACACTCGTCCGAATATTATTTATGCAATGAGTGTGGTTAGTCAGTTTATGCACAGTGAGATCCCTTGGCTACGAAAGTATCTTTGGGGTCTTGGTTTTAAACAGGCGGAGGCGATGAATTTGTATTGTGATAACAAGTCAACAAGAGAGATAGCTGAGAATCCAGTGTAGCATGATAGGACGAAACATGTGGAGGTTGATCGACATTTCATTAAAGAGAAGCTCGAAACGAAAATTGTATCAATTTCGTTTGTGAATTCAAAAAAGCAACTTGCAGATGTGCTTACTCATGCTGTGTGTAGTAGAAGTTTTGACGACTCACTTATCAAGTTGAGCATGTGTGATATCTATACACCAACTTGAGGGGGAGTATTGCGT